CGAACCCAGAAGTTCGATTGCCTGCCGCCGAACCAGCGCGGTAAGTATAGACAAGCACTTAGAGAGGAGCCAGAGTTCACAGGAAAGGCCATGGAATCCCACTTTTACTCACTGGCATCCCCCAAGAGAAGGCCAGAGAAAAATCAGCCCAGGGGAGAAAAGAGTTCAAGGGTCATGAATGGTTGGGGACACACTGGAGTTCGGGGCGGTGACGCTGAATGGAATATGGATTTATAATAATTTATAATATTAACAGCAATATTACAAATTGGAATGAATCATGCTAGATATGCTGTGTAAGGTGTTGGTGAAAATGTTCTGATTTCCCAAGTCTAATAATCTTGTTTATGTTTGTATTGCCTTTGTATTGTGAGTTAGAGATATGTAGGGTATATCTGTATTTCCAAACTTGTGCTGTGTTTCTGGGTGACACCCCCAGGCAATTTGACATCAGCACTGCCCAACCTGTTTGATGGTCCATCAAGGATCATCGGCTGTACAGTTGACCCATTGAGAGAAGGCAAGGGATACATCTTATCAGTCAGCAAGGCATGTAGTAACTGGAGTAACTTTTCTACAAACAAAGCTCTAAACAAAGTACTGAAAGACCCATCCAAGCTGTGGATGTGTTCCAGAGGGACTTCCAAGCCAGCAAACTCACCAATACTCCTAAGAACATGATATATGGACTTGGAAGTTTCTATATGTGTTTGAGTGCTTTATCATTTAACAACTCTTTATAATAAACCTTTAGTTTTAGACACTAAAGGATTGGCTGGCAGCACGGTATTTTGGGTAGGATCTAAACGAATATTGACCTGGTAACGTGGCTGACCCTATGGGGTCAGAAGAACATTTGGTATATGTGAGCAGAGTTTTTAAATGACTTCTCCCTGTACTGGACCTAGGTGCTGATTGGGAACCAGAGAACTGGAATGGAATTAGGGGACTGGGGGGGATTTTTTTTTTAAACTTCTTGATAACCAGCGTGGGAGATCAGAAGTACGAACTCTGACTGGTTGGTGAGTTTAACTTCAGTGTTAACCACTAGTTTGGGGAGTATCTGCTCTCCCTTCTGCAGCCTGGCCTGACCTTGGCATTTTCAGTGAGGGCAGCTCCGGGCACCCCGGGTCACAGGGGTGTGTGAGGGAGTTATGAAGAAAGCCTGTAATCTGATATTTGGACAAAAGAAGGTGGAGCCATGGCCGGGAAGAGCTGAGGAACCCCATATTAACCCAGGTCGGGAACAGCCGGGCAGTTGAACGTCTGCAAACTCAGAGACAAAATGGACCAGAGCCGCACTAAGAAAGAAGCTTTGGAGAAACTTTTTGATCCAAAAGAGTTTTTGAAAGCTTATTATTCCTTTGACTCCACAAGCAGTGAAAAAAATGATATTTTGATGTTTCTTCTGAGAAACTTCTTTAAGACCTTCATTTTGGGTGAGTGGGGTGTGTTTTGTGCCATTCTGTTTGCACAAAGGCTGTTTCATAGTGGGATGAGTATTGCTGGAAACATGATTGTGTAGATCTAGATTTCTTTTAGAAGAGGAGATTTTCCCTAATTATCTTCTACCCCTGCTTTATGGCGTGATGGGCCACAGCTGGTCATCCTCATTACAAAAGCCTGGCACAATAGGTGGGTTGAGAGTAGTATTGTTCTCTAGTGTGTGCAATGACAACACTGGGCTGTGCTAATGACCTAGATGGGTCTCCCAAAGTCAATAGGAGAGTCTGAGATGAAGCATAAAATGGGGGCCACTACAGGCTGAAGAATCAACAGTGGAGAAGGTGCACCTGGATCGTGGCAGCATGGAAGAGGGGAGAGGAGGGCGGGGAAGAGCATGCATCAGTGCTTGTGCACAGGGTCCTGTAGGGTGCAGTGGTTGGGGACATCGCTGGTGACAGCGGGTATGGCACAGACCAGGACAGAGCAAATCCTCCTTTACTAATTTGTGCCTTAAGTACAGTCTCCCTACAAGATTGACCAGCTCCTCATCCCATGCAGTAGAGCTCTGTGCCATTCCCCAGCAAGCCCTGGTCCTAGCAGTGGGATGACGTATGGCTGGTGGTAGATCAGAAGCCGGCTCGTGCCACTGAGCCAGGAGTCGCCAGTCAAGGAGTTCCCCAGCGGTCCCCGAAAGAGGGACTTTCTCCCAAACTGTTGGTGTGTCTAGGTTTGTGGGCCTGTAGAATGTACTTTTAAAGCTACCGGGGCTGTGTGGGTATTGCTAACTCCAAACCAACAGAGCTTAAATAACAGATGTTAAAAGATAACACATCTTGAGTTTTGTTTCGGTGCATTCTGGATCTTGAGCTTTTCGGGTTGTTATTTTTTTAAGCTTTCTCCACAATTCTTCACGCTAGAAACTAGCTTTAATTGACTTTATTTATTCAAAGGGAAGATGAGATGAGATCTCCCGGTGCCAG